CGTCTGTTAGAAATGCATTTTGTATTTTTGCACCAAAGCTATATTTTAGATTGAAAGCATTACTGCAATCCATATTGAGTTCTAGCAGGACGGAGAATGATATTAGCTGTAATATTAGTCGGATAGCGGAAGCTGGTAAGTTTTATTTGCGTTACTTTTTTTACAGTAATATTAATGTAAGCGATATTTTACAATAGATCTGTTGATTCTTACAGCAGTAATGGTGACTGCATAATGATTTGTGGTACTTGAATAGTTGTGGAAGACAATTTCCATACAGAAGCCATATTAAATACTGTAACAGTTTTGCTTTGATATAATGTTCATATCGCAGTCTAATAAATCTATGATATATTCCAAGATAAAAGATTGGATGACGAATTGGCTCTCTTCATTGTCAGTTGATTCACTTGCTGCCTGATGGGAAGAGTTACAGTCGAATATGTTATTTATAGTTGTCAATAAAGAGACTGTCTCAATGGTTGTATCCAGACAATTCGTCACCGATATAGTCGCAACACTGGATGATTTGAAGCCAAGTCTTGTCAAAGAAGTTGCTAAGGCTTTACTGAATATTGTGCAATCACGTCTAATTTCTTACGAAGAACAAGTAATGATTTATAGTGTTGTAAATGGGCTTGTTTAATCTGATTTGGTTTGGGATAGCTTTGTTTCTATGTGGCACAGTCGAATTTGTTGGTGAAGGTTTCTTCTTTAGAAGAGATTTCCTTTGGATCGACGTTATAGGGTTAGTTGTATTTCTTCGAGATGGGAGTTGATCTCTACTAGACTACAATCGTGTGGATTTGGCTTGGATTTATTATTCGGGTTTTGATCTAGAATGTTTCTTTCATACACTGTTGATTTTCATATAATGAGAAACTACACTTGCTGATGTAGTTTATGAGATCGGACAGATAGTTGTTTGACGACAATACTGATAATGCTAAAATTGACTACTGACAAACCTACTGACACAATACAGTACTGAATACGTTATACATCCATTTTAGACATCAAAGATCAAAGTGAAATACAATTTTGATATTCGGCAGAAATATGATATTCTTAAGATAAAACGGACTAAATTTCCAATTTTGGGGTAAGCAATATAAATTTTATGAACATAATTATAATTCATGTGAAAATTTATGACCAAATGAATCACAGTGAAATACAATTTTACAATAAAATGGGTTAAATTGTCAAGTAGCTTTGAATTACTGGAGTAAACAATGCAATTTTATAAACATAATTATAATATGGAAATTTAATGATATATTCATATATTTGTGAATCGTCTTTATAAACAAAGACATAATCATTTAACTGTCAGCGTAAATTTATGTATTTTATTAAAGAATATTTTTTACAAATCTAATTTGATAATTTTGTATTATGGCTTAATTTCGGATTTCCGACACATAGTACATTATTCTTTGCTTTATATATGCTATTTCTAAAGTTATAGTTATACATGTGTTTCATCCATAGCTGCATGTGTGCTGTTGTAATTTCTGATTACTGTAGATGATGGACTAGATAGCTGTTAATATTGGTTAAATTTTTAAAAAAATTTGTTATGTGTTTCAGGTAACGCAACTGCGTTTTCGACTAGCTGATTTGTACGAAGCAGATGGTGAAAGTGGCGAAGCAGCGAAAATACTTATGGCTATACCTCTGGAGACAGGACAAAGGTAGAAATTTGTATGAGTAATGTATATATTGTGAAATTTTTCTATAAATATTGATAAAAAATTTGAATAAAAATTAAAGATTATTTTCTGAGCAGTATACCTAAATTTATGAAATAACAAGAGAATAGTGAAATGCTGAGCACTTAGACTATATTAAAACTACTTAACACTTTTCATGAATTTTATTCATGAAATAATTGGGCAGTCTTTGTTTACTAAAATCGTATTTTCATTCCTTGAAAGTATAGGATATATAATTTGGTAATTCTCGTTTTTCAAAAAAAAAAACTTCAGGACTTACTCTCCAGAACTGAAAATGCGTACGTACTTGAGGATAGCGCAGTTAGCATTGGACTATAAAAATTCAGACGAGGCGGAGAGTTTTGTTAATCGCGCTTCAATGTTGTTCAATGATGTTTCGAAGGATAACGAGCTCATTATGATGTATAAAGTAAGAAAGAAATGAAGAAATGAAATGCTGTTTTTCTTCTTATGTTAAAAAGAATCATTTAGAGCCGTATGATATTAATATTTAAAACAGAAGCCGAAAAAAATTTCATTTAGCAGGAAATAAACTAGATTGAAATATGTATTTAAAAAATTTTTCGAATTTTGTGCTAAAAATTTTTGCTTAAAATTAAAAAGTTAAAAACATCTGATAGGGCAATTTTTTAGTCTCTGTACGCGAGAGTATTGGATCATCGGAAGAAATTCATTGAAGCTGCACAACGATATTATGATCTTTCTTTGTTCCAAAATATGCTCATTTCCGAGAAAGCACAAGCACTTACGAATGCCATTTCTTGCACTGTTTTGGCTTCACCAGGTCTTATGCAACAATATTTTGCTTTGGGCTTCAATATGACGAGAGCGTAATTATAAGCTCCAAAGTCTTTGGATTAACTGATAAACTTGTCAATCACCGAAACATGTTCGGCATTATCTTCTTCACTGTGCAGAGTTGACAAGAATCTTTAAATTAAGAAAGATAAATATTAAAAGAAGTTTGTAAAGCGAGAAGTTAGAACATATATAATGGATTACATATTTCATTAGATCTTGAGAAGCAATCCTAGAAGATGTGTTCTGTATGGTCAATTGGAAAATGTGTAGTTCAGGTCGAAAATGTTTTTTTGATGGACTAGATACTTACGTTCCGGTTTTGTATTATGATCTTATTGTTTTACAGGTGTGCAGCGATCTCGTATGTTAACAACACTTTATAAAGATGAACGCTGTTCCAGCTTAGCTGCATATAGTATACTACAAAAAATGTATTTCGAAAGGCTGATTCGAAATGATGAGGTAAATTTTGTTGATACTTTTTTAATCTAAGTTTTCTCCCACTTTTGTTTTCGATATTTATTTTCAAAATCCAGAAAAAAGACTTGAAAGGTTTTTGAAATTTACAGAAGTGAATATATAAAGTGGCCGAGTTTTATTTGTAAATTAGGACTGAAAATTAGATCTAACATTGATCAGTAGCTTTTTACTGAATAGCTTTTTGTCTTGTTCGTTTTGAGGTAATGGAATTTGAAAAATCGCTATCGTCGCATCAACGAATTACTCGTGGCGATTGGAGTCTTCTTCAGCGAGCCGTCATTGAGCACAATTTTACTGCAGTGAGCAAAATTTTCACCAATATTTCATTTGAACAGCTTGCTAAACTCCTCAACATTGATTGCACTCAGGTTTTTTAAATTTTATATTTTATGCTCACAGATCACATATTTTCATCTGTACTTTCAATCTTTACAAATTCATTAAATATACACAACGTTGCTCCTTTGCTCTCTTTCGAGTTACAATTATACTTATCTTATTTCGTTTCCTGTTAAGAAATGTTGGAAGAAGCTTTGCTTTGTCTTTGTTTTTTTATTTTTTATTTTTTGTTTTTATTCAAGTTTTCAACGACGTGATGTCCATAGTTTTAACTGATTCCACATATTTATGCATTGTAAATTCCATTGATTGAAGGCAGAGAAATTGGCGCGGCAAATTATCGCTGATGGACGTGTTGCAGGCACCATCGATCAAGTCGACGGAATTGTACACTTTACTCGTTAGTATATTTTTTTATTTCATTTCGTTAGTTGGCTATCGATATTTAATTTGCCCTTTTCCTCATGTCTTTTTTTCAACTTTGCTCTATAACAGTGTATTTTGATGGTTTTCATTGTTTAATTTGTTTAGTTACATTCTTTACAAGTTAGAATTGATGGGATCAATTTGAATGAAGTGTCTTACTGTAGATATTACGGATGAAGATGCGGTACCGGGAAAGGAAGCTTTAGCAGAATGGGACCAACATATTGCTGGACTTTGTCAAGACGTGAATATTGTCACTGATATGATCATTCAGAAACACAAAGTATGGGTGGATGCACGTAAGCCTGCGGCGTGAAATGGTTTTCACGCTGATAAAAAGATTTGTTATGACATGGATCGGAGAAAATTGTATAGTCCTAGCGTTTGATTATAAAATTGTGCATTAATTATACTCTGGATATATGAATTGTACTCTGTATGGAAGCTACAGTAGGTTCATTCCCCAAGGTAGTATCTGACTTATATTTATATTAAGCATATTGAAATCAGTATTTGACAC